ATAGAACATTCTGGAAAAGGTAAAACTATAGGGACAGAGAAAAGACCACTGGTTGCTATAAGCGCTGTGGTTGGCAAGAGGGACTGGCAATAAGAGCCTGTGAAAAAATTCTGGGGTTATGGTAGTTACACAACTGTATATGTTTGTCAAAACTCACAGTATTGTTCACACACACACACAAAAGGGTGAATTTATTAACGGTAAGATATTCCTTAATAAAAAAAAAAATTCAGTTCCCTAGATGTCTAGACTTCTTCCATGCTGTCTGGTATGTTACTGGATATTTTTCAATTTTTTATCCCTTGAAGTGTAAATTATAGGATAACGACACAAATAGGAATACAAAACAGGAAATATTCATTTCAAAGTATAAAAACAAATCAATAGACTCCAAGAATCTAGATGTATATAAGGCATAAGGGCTTTATTAATAGGTTCGTTCATTCCATCTATGATGCTTAATTTATTCACATAACAGAAAGAAAGGCCTTTAAAAGACTTTCAATTTTAATCATTCTAACTAATTTAAATTATCTTGTTCCCAGAATTATATAAGGTAGTTTTCCCCTCCTTGACTGCTTTCACCTCTGCATCAAAATGTATTCTCATAATGCTCCTCCTGTTTCTGATAATTCACAAATAAGCCTTAAAATTGCTGCTGTGGGAAGAAATATTGATTTTATTCTTGGTGCCTATTCCATCTTTCTTCTACATACAACCTTCCCATAGAAGCCCAGTTACAAGAAATTCCTGAAAATAAAGCAAAACTTGATAATGTCAGTTTATAAAATATTAAACAGAAAATTATAGTGAAACAGGCACATTAAAGCTCAGAACAGCAGAAAGGGCGAGGCACCTGTTAGAGTACCTGATAGGAAGCTCTCGCCTTGTGAAATGTTCCCTCAGCTAATACCCATTGCTGCTCCCCCATGCCTGTTTCTCTTGGACCCGCTCTACAACAACCAAGAAATTAATAATAATATGCCAAATAGCATCCTACCAATTAAAGACTGCTTTTGGTTAACACAAAAGTCCTTTTAAAGGAATAAGCTTGTTCTCATTTCACCGAAATGAGTCACAGCAGACATATGACTAAAGAACCTCAAGGGCCGGCAGAGTGGCTCAGTTGGTTAAGAGCTCGCTCAAGAGTTTGAGCTCTGAGCAACAGCGGTTCGAGTCCAGCCCGAGCTGAGCAGCCGCTGAGCTG